AGCCTTGAGTTTAGGATTTAGGGTTTTAGGGTTTTAGGGTTTAGGGTTTAGGGTTTAGGGGTTTAGGTTTAGGATTTAGGGTTTTAGGGTTTTAGGGTTTAGGGTTTAGGTTTATTTATGTGTTTTTGGCCGTCGCTTGGGGCTTCTGGTTTAGGTTTTATTGCTTTAGGGGAGAGGGCTTGGGGGTTCTATTTCTGGTCTTAGGCAGTCACTTTTGCCGGCCCTATGAGTATCACGTTCACAGCGTTCTGTACCGTTGTTGTCTTTTTCTCGTTTCGCCACCTTTCCTTTTGAAGTGCAGTATAATATAAGTAGTAGATACCGTAGTTTCTCTGAGTCGGAAGGTACGGAAGTGTTGAGACCATGGCTCTGGAGCCCAGAGAGCCCCGAGAGCAGACCTCTCTCTGCCAGGTGGTTCGGCGCTCGGCGCTGGAGAGCCTGCACGGCATCATTCAGGAGCAGCGCCAGGTGCCAGGGTCCAGCCAGCTATCACAGCCTTGACCAACAAGAGCCGGAGGTTTTAGAAACTTTAGGGCGGGGTCCCGTGCCAAGACTCTTATGCTATCCTGGTGTTGGTAAAGCATGTTGCAGTCGCGATGGCTGCTGGCACCAGCAGCTTTACTGTTACTGCACAACCCACTCTATCCGGTACGATCATTGCACTCTCGCCTCTGTTCTTCAATGTGTTGAGTCTGCTTCTTGCTCTCAGTGTCAGACGAAGATTGTCGGCATCGGCAGCCCTCCCCCCCCGCGAATCCAAAACCTGAACCCTGATCTCCCTACTACGAGGTCCACACAGCCCCGAAAGCGTGACATTGCGGCCCTTTACCGGAGATCCTTGGCACACTTAACCCTCCAGGCGCCCTGTGCGGCCGAGCTGCCAAAGCCAACGCTGGCCCGGCTCCTAAGGGCCTTGTTGAAGCCAGGGGCCCAGTGAAAGAAAGGGAGGGCTTTTCTCCCGAGTTCTTAGCAGGGAATGGGGGAATGGATCGCTATGATAGTCCCTTGAGGTCCCATATAGTAGTCCCAAAAAACCATTCCTCCCTACTAAGAACCAGTCAGTTTTGGACGAGGGTGGCCTGGACAACCAGGTAAAGTTTAAGCTATTCCTTAGGGCTATGATTCTACATGTACAGTAGTATAGGTAAGCAGGTAAGCGATAGTCCACTTATTCAGGCCCCAAAACTGCGGATGTTGTTCCAAGCCATCTTGTTTCCATTGCTGTAGAGTCCTTCATGCTTGGGATATTAGCCACACAGCTCCCTTGCTTGTTGGGGGGAATATGAGGCTCGAGCTACAGTTCGCTTGATCGCTCAAACCCAACTGCCTTCAGGATTTGGCAAGCTTATTCTCTACTTGCTCAAAGTTCTTGAGGGGTTTCGTGCGCTAGGAGCTGTAGTGGGGATGGCATGCGGGAACCCTGGAGCAATTGCTCAGGTTTCTCTGGGAATCGTCGTCTTCGCCAGGCAAGACTTCTTCCAGCATACCATGGTGGTCGGAGTCATAAGCCAAAATAAAAGACTGCAGCTCAGAGGGTTCATGCTGATGGGTTCAGGTGGCTACGACTGGGAGGTTCGAGCGGTGTCGGTCGCGGGCGGTTCAGAGTCTTTGAAGCCCAAGACTTGCAGGTTTTAGGGTTCGGGACTGCAGGTTGGATACACAAAAGGAAAGCAAGATCGAGTGCATGCTGGTGTTTCTTGCTACTGCAGACCGTCAATCCAGAACCCTGAAGCAGACCAACGACCCTCAGCCCCCAGCTGTCAAATTGAAATTGAGGTTCATAAGCACAGATCATGCCGACCCTCGAAAGAGAACCCACCCTCACCATTACAAACGCAACGCACACCGAAAGGTTCTAGGCAAGAACCCAGCTCCTTCACCTGCCGGCCAAAAGGTTCCAGAATCCCCCCAAAAAAAAACCCTACACCCCCCAAGTCATGAGCCAGGAATATAACTCCCTAAGCTTCCTTGAGGTCCAAGTCGGTGTTTGTTGACACTTCTATTTCACTCCAGCAGGAAATAGACAACCTTCCGAACCCGAAACCCCGAAGCTGACCATGAACCCCACCCCACACAGCGCAACCGCCCTCCTTACTGCCCAGACGACCAGCTCCTCTGCGGACAGCTCCTGGGCTCCCTGGGAGCCATCGACCCGGCCCGGCTGTCCGGCCAGGCCCACCAAGGGCTGCCTTGTATGTATGTATGTATGTATG